AGCCCGTTTGCCTTTGGACGACAACCACCGAAACACTTTTTTCAGCCCTGCATAACTATCACTTGAATTTTTAGTAGTTATACTTAGTAACATCCGTAAAATGGCAATTGCCACGTAGGACATAGACGGATAAAGACCGATCTTTTTAATTAAAGCGTTTTCCTTTTTAAAGGCTCCAGGATTGCATAATAGGATTATTACCTTTAAAAAATCGAGCTAAACGCTAAGCAAAGCAGTAATCTGCTGATAGGTTTAGGTCACCTACAATGAATCAAACTACTAAATCGGAGGACTTCGGTGACCGGTGAGTTAGAAAAGCTTGCAATGCAACACAGTGTTTTTATATACCTTGTGCAACACTAAAAAAAAATTGTACGTGTGCTGCAATGACATACGATCGTATGCCTTACTTGGCTTGTATGAAGTTGTCCCTGCGTGGCTGAGCAGAGTCAGTGGGCGAAACAAGTACCGTCGTGTCCATCGGCTCAGCTTCAGATGTTGGAGACTTCATGCCCGCTGTGAATAAGATACAACCTGTAAGACGCCTTTGGGGGGAGGGGGATTAACGAGCGGGCGAGAGAGTGAGCCCTGCACGTGCGGAAGGACGAGAGGTATGTACCTCAAACAGGCTTGTGCGCGGCACCCTACTAACCGGTCACTAACGATGTGCCAATTTTGGAGGCAGTCTACCCAGCCGTTCTCGAGATCTGGAAGCGGCACCTTGCACGTGCGCACGTGCAAACTGGGTCCAAAGTGGCTTTTGCACGGCACCCTACCAAACAGTCCCTGAACACGTACCGATTACCGAATTTGAGCGCAGTTGGCCCAGCCGTTCTCGATATCTGGAGGCGTCGCCTGCACGTGCGCACCTGCAGTAGCACACTGACGGTAACACGGAATGCATTGCCTGGTGGGCCCCTACCGGCATGCCAAGTTTCAGCGAAATAGCCCCAGTAATTGCCGAGTTATTGTAATGAGAACAAATTTGACACCCCTTCTTTTTGCACATTGCACGTGCATTGGAGGTGACCCACTGGTATAGAGCATCCGATGTTTGAAAGAAGGGATGCAACTACCCTACAAAAATAACCGCAAGTCAATCGTCCAACGGTTGCCGAGATATAGGCCTCTCAAAATCCTCAGTTCAGCAGAACAACTTCAACACCCTTGGCTTTTCAGATGGCACGTGCCACGACAGTCAGCTAAATGCTTCGACACTAGTCGGTTACGGGGAAGAAGGGATGTCACTACCGGGGAATGTACTGATATTTTTTCGTTATATTGGAAGGACTCCCTTCGCGCTTCGCACTCGCTCGTGATGATGTAAGAAATTCATATCGGTCTGAACAACCCTGTTAAGTACTACGAACAAGGTACTCGTGCACTGCATGTGCACAGGATCCGGCAAGAGTTTTGTCCTCTACCTATGGCAACACATATCCGATTCCTAATCGTTTCTACCCCAAAGGGATAACGGTTATGGCTGCAACCCTGCACTGCACGGTCCTTGTCCGCGGGAAATGAGGTCGCGAACGGACCTCGGGTCATGGATCACCGAGCTGCGGCCGTTTCACGCACACTGTCCACCCGAACGGCCGCGTTGCAAAATGAAGGTCAGAAATTTCTGTCTCGGGAAGCTGAACCAGACGTCGGCATGCTCCAGGTCGAAATGACACAGCGTAGCATTGCCGATCGGTTGGGACATAGGTATGTCGGCACAATTCGGCGCTGGTGGGATACAGGGTACATCGAGTGAAGGGTATACAGGGTATTAGGGTGAGCATAGACCTCTGTACACCAGGTCTATGGTGGTACATGGTGGTACATGGTGTACAGAGGTCTATGGGAAGAGATAAGCATACGGCTGCTGGCAGCGTTGCTGGTCGTCCCAGATCATAATACCAACAAAGTATCCACAATATTAGGATTGAAATACCACATAACAAGCCGGTAGGTATCAGTTTGGTATCGGTTTACCAAAAAGTTGGTATACGATTGACTAATCAACATGCATTTTCAGGCAGGAAGGCGCGCCAGCTCATCGTTTTGCCAAGGCCCCGCGGAGGAACGAATCGAGCCTGTCGAACTTCAGAAGGAAAGAGGTGTTAGCCGCCTACCATCCGGACCTACCAACCACACACTGGACCTCGCATGCGGGTAGCGAGTTTTTGGGTTTTCGGGTTTCTTCCAAATTAAAGAATACATTCTATGCTGAGTGACCCACACCACCATGTTACCAGCGAGTCTGCATGTTTTTAGCGTGCGAGCCAACTTGCATCGCATTCCAAAAGCTGATTTAGAGTTAACTTTCGATTTTCCTCGCTGCGAGGGCTGCGAGTTTTGGTGTGTTTTATTGAAGTCGAATTTAGGTTCATTGTGCTGTTACTGCGATAATATGCAATTTTCTGAGGGTGTACCGACTTCATTGCATGCATGTAGTGACCATAAAAGCATGGTTTAATCACTCCAAGAATGAGTATTATACCAGCGAATCCAAAACCCGCAGACTCGCAACCCGCATGTCCAGTGTGGGGCGGCCTTAAGCCTGACCCAGAAACTTTGGGCTATTGTCCAGCAGGATCTGGGCAAACAGAAGCCGGCCGCCAGCCTTGACAATTGACATACCTTTTATGTAGCAATTCATAGTACATTTTTTTTTATTGGACAAAACTTATGTCGGATCCTGTACAACTCGCTATGACTGCAAGCTATGTAGATAAATTCTAATTTAGACTAAACGGTGAATGGTACGAAGGCCAAGTGATCAGCCACTCGGTACTCGGAACGTAGCGATACGGGAACTTAACCCTCGACAGGCGAGGGCCTTTTCCATAACACGGACGGCGAGGGGGGGTTGGTACGACCCCCCCTCGCGATTGGCTCCTATGGCACTTAAAAACGCAAAATTTACAGGGTAGGTGGGTCCTTAGAAGATCTCGCCCCTGTGAATGTTTGGTGACTCTAAGTCAATATTTAGGGGGGTTTTGGGGGGTATGAGTGCAAAAATTTTGCTAAAACATGTCAAAAGTTTTTCGCTTATAACTTTTTACCTAGTAAAGAATAAAGATAGAGCAAAAATAAAAGCACCAGTGAACTCAGGACGTCCGTGCACATCGAATGATAAACTTTGTTACCAATTTTAGTGAACTCTGGAATTCAGTTGCCGCTAAGCTAGTCCAATTTTACCCTGACCTTGTACCGGTTTTTGTGACCTGGTGACCTGACCTAAAAAGACTGGGACTTCAAATTTTCAAGAAAGGTGCGAAAATGTTGCCCCAGAGGGTAGGTATGCCAAATTTGGCCCGGTTTTACGTTATTTGCGAAAAACCTTACGGGGTGCATCAACCCCCCTCGCCGGGCGAGGGTTAAGCGATACGAGGCTCAAAATCTTATCGGTGAATCAGGCACAAGCGAAGTGGTCGAGGAGTGGGAACGAAACACTACGCAGGGGCCGTACCAAGATACCTATAAGAAACAGGTACAATTTCATCATGAAACTTATATAATTTAATAAAAAAAAAAACTTGAAATCCTTCGAGTGTTTATCTAAACCCCCTGCAATACCTTTGATCACGTGACTGCCATGATAAACTTTGCTTTTTGCAATGTTATGACTTAAACAGAAAAAAATGAATGTTACAATTGTATTATTTATGATGTTTAGAGCAGCAATCGTGTAAATATATCCTTAAATTATATACAATCTGCTGAAAAGAAGTCACGTGATGCTACCAGATTGTCCTCGGACAGCCTATCTTTAACCCTCGCCGGACCTATTGGTTTTCTACATACGCGCCGGCCGAGGGGGGGGGGCGGGTACGACCCCCCCCCCTCCTCGCCGTTTCGACTCTGGTGGAGCTAGCGCGTCGCAGATAAAACGAGCGTGTGCGCCGTTACGAGACGCAGAGATTGGTACCCGATTTTAAGTTCCTAGGTCAACCGATGACCTCTGAGGTCAGGTCAAGTGCCCCAAGGTACGGTTCAGTTTTTGGTGAATAACTTCGCAAAAAACGGCCGCAGAGCCGCGATTTTGGCAACATCGTGTTCGCCGCGCTCAGGCGCGTCGAATGATATACTTTTTGTCCGGGTCAGGTCAACTTGGGGTGTTGACCTCAGGTCAAGGTCAGGTCAACGCCCGTAGGTCACAAAGTTGGTCGAAAGAGGTCATGTTGCATATCATTCGATTCGGCAGGTCTTCCTGAGCCCATTGGTGGCTTTCCCGACTCGCTAGCTCATTTTGATCAAGAGTTATTGATGAAAAACTAATATGAACTTGATGACGTCATAAATAACGTCACGCAAGGTCAACATTGCAAAAGTGACGCATCTAACCTTGCAAGGAGTTCATCAAATCACGATTCTGTGTGCTTGAGATAGTTGGAGATCGTTCCCGGCTCCAGAATAGCAGTTTTCATTTTTCCCCATTAACTTATAATGGTGAGGTCACGAAAATGACCTGACCTCATATGACATTTAGGAAAAATCCGAGATATACAAGCTGTGAGACTCATAATTGATACTAGATCCTGCAAGTTTCATTTCCCTGTGACATCTTCTCTGGCAGTGAGGGCGTTGCGAAGTTGCGACATCTGAAGACCGTGCAGAGGTTCACTTATGACGTCATAGGTCAGTGACCTGACCTGACCCAAAAATGCGGTTGGTGTCAAAAGATCCCGCTTGAATCAAAGGTCAGGTATGCCAAGTTTCAGCTCTCTATCGCTAGCGTGTTCGGAGCTATCGCGAAAAAAACCTATGGGGGGGGGGCGGCACCCGCCCCCCTCGGCCGGCGAGGAAGGCCGTGACGTGATGTATCTCGTCAGCAGAGCGGAGGCGCTTAGTCATTATGCTACCACACACTAACGAGATGCCAGCCATTCACAAAAGCAATATCCATATTCCATAGACTCTGACTGTCCATGTAAGGTTCGTTTTTTTGCTTCGTCGCCAAAAGTTCTACAGGAAAACATTTCTCCTCTAGCTTCCGTCTGAGGTCAATGCCGTAAAAACTTAGTGGTCTTTCCGTAAAACGAGCAGGAGGTCCGGAAGCTTCGTTCAGAGTCGGACGACAGACAAGCCATTTCAGCGCAAGCCTCACTCACTATTTATTCACTATTCTCCAGAATCCACTCGATATACTCGGAGACCTTGGTGTAGACCCCGGGAAACTTCGGGTTCCCGCAGCCCCTGCCGCCGGAGACCACGCCGACCACCGAGAAGCGTCCATCCGCTCCCCTGGCGACCAGCGGGCCGCCCGAATCCCCTTGACACGCGTCTCGATTCGTGCCCTCCGTCCCGGTTGCACACAGCTTGGTCCCCTGAAACCCGCCCGGAAAGTCGCCTTCGAAGCCGACCACAGCGCGGTACGCGTCCTCACACGGCCCCGTCTCGACCACGACCAGCTCGATGTCTTGCAGCTGGTCGGGCAGGTCGCCGGCCCACTCGAGCACGCCCCAGCCGGCCAGATGGACCGTGGCGTTGGTGTGGTCGGCTCGCGGTGGCGGCAGGCAGGCGGGCACCACGGCGGCGCCGACCGCCGCCGGCCGGCGCAGCAGCAGCACCGCCAGGTCGTGATGGTTGGCGTGGTAGAGAGGGTGCTGCACGATACGCCGCACCACCGCCGTGCCCGCCGCGTCCGAGTCGCCGTCCCGGTCCGGGGATGTAGTGGCACTTCGGCGATATTCCGCCAGACGGAGGGTGAGGCGGTCCGCCTGCTTGCCACGCACACAGTGAGCGGCTGTGAGTACGGTCAGCGGCGAGATCAGGGTTCCCCCGCAGAACCACTCCACCGACGTGCCGTGCCGCTCGCCCAGCGACACCATCCAGGGCCAGGTGCCCTTGGTGGCGGGCACTCCACCGATTCCGGGGAACCCGTCCCCCACGGCGCCGTGCGAGCCGGGCACGCCCACCGGCCCCGGGAGCTCGCGGAGAGGCGGAGAGGCCACGGGATCGGCAGCCGCCCGCCGGTGCCGATGCTGCCCTGGGGACAGCCGCGGAGGGCCGGGCGGCGGCGCCGGACGAGGCGGAGGAGGCAGGGCAGCGGCCCCGCCCTCCGTTGAGTGTGCAGGCCGAGAAACATCCGATCGTTCAGCTTTCTGGCCGGGTCTCGCTGGCAGCGCATCCTCTGGCAGCGTCTCTCCTTTGAGTCCCGGCAAGCCTGGCATCCCCGGCGGTCCCGGCGGTCCGGGAGGTCCCGGCAGGAAGATGAGCTCGCCCTTGTGGCCCGGCGGTGCGGGCCTTCCGGGAGGGCCCGGCGGGCCAGGAGGGCCCGGCAGTCCTGGTGAACCGGGCGGGCCCGACAGCAGCGAGGCTGGTCCCCGCCGTCCGGGCGGTCCGGGAAACCCAGGCAGACCGGGCGGCCCCGGCGGACCATACACCACCGACGCCAGTCCCGGCGGCCCCGGCGGACCGGGCGGGCCCGGCGGGCCAGGATATCCCTTCGGTCCCAGCTCGGACGTGGCGCCACCGGGCAGTCCCGGCGCTCCCGGCGCTCCCGGGACTCCGGGCTCTCCGGGCGGTCCGGACGGACCGGCACGCGGGGCGCCCGCCGGTGGAAGGTTGGCGCCGGGAGCGGGCGGGCCCGGCAGTCCTGGCGCGCCGGGCTGGCCTGGCGGGCCGGGAGGGCCGCGCACCACTGTGATAGCGCCGAAGCTCGGCAAGAAAAAAGAACTGCCAGCGTTCCCGATGTCTCGCAGCTTGCCGCAGTCGTGGTAAAGCACGGTAGGCGGTGGTGTCTGTGCGGGAGCCGGCAGAGGCGGGGCGAAAGGCGGTGGAGGGATTGGCGGAAGACTGACTGGCAGCTGGGTGACCGTTGGGGAGTTCCCCGGCGCCCGCTGAGACCAGACGAGACCCAGGGTGCCACAACAGACCTGGCCAGGACAGCCATGGGCAGGGCCGCTCGGTGCCACACACAATTCAGTATCCACGCACCAGCCCAGGCTGAAGTCGCGCAAGTAGCAGCGGGTGCTGAAGCCGAACACGATTCCCGAGGCGAGGCAGCGGGCCACTAGCAGTGCTGCTGCGGCGGTCGCCAGCGCCAGCGGCGTCGACCACATCCCTGCGGCCCCTCGGATCCCCGCGCCCGTGCCAGGCTGTCCCGGAGCCCGAGCCGCAGCCGTTCCGACACCGCTTCGCAGCCGGCCTCCACTGACATACTAACACCACCGCCGAGCCGTGAGCACCCCGAGCCAACACCGGCCGCGCCATGACACTCAGCTGCTTACGTTGCGGTCGCCTGACGTAACTCTGTTTGTGTATCGTATTGCAATACCAGACTGCTGCATGGTCGCGATGCATGCTGTGAGGAAATGGTGCACTTTAAACTGCGACTTAGCTACTTGGGGACTGGGGGGGGGGGGCGTTCCTACATTTTCAGTTTCGTTGTGCCACTTTGGCGAAAGGTTCTACACAATCCTAAAGGCCTGGCTACACTATGCGTTTTCTGCGTGCGTTTTTTGCAGGTTTGCGTTTTTGCGTAATATCGTTCTAGAAAAAGGCTATAAATAACATCATTTTTACATTAGTTAGATATAAAAGTTAATATTACTCTTATATTAACTAAAATTCAATGTAAAAAGCATCACAAAAACGTAATATTGTATTGTTTACTTTCAAGAACGATGTTCCGCAAATCACGCAAACTCGCAAAAACGCACGCAGAAAACGCATAGTGTAGCCAGGCCTTAACAGAGGTTATGGCGATATATGCTCAATTGCTCATTACGAAGTCCCAAATTCCACGCTACTGAGGCCAAATTGGGGCGTTTGACCTGACCTTTGTACGACTCGTGACATAGGTGTCGATTTGTATACTTTTGGGTGTGCCCGGGCACCCCCAATGCTGAGTTGGGCACCCCCCAAGGGGCTCTGGGCACCCACAACCAAAATTGGTACTGGCATCACTGTTACGATTCTTTGAACGCACTGCTTTCTCTAATTCATACGGGCGGGAACGAGGGGGGGGGCAGTGGGGACAGTTTATCCCCCCTAACTCTGTGGCCGTGGGGGCACCGCCCCCACAACTTTAAGACGGAATATCGCACTTTTTTGCAATTTTTTTTTGAAAACGCCAAGGGATGAAAAATAAGTGGCCTATAACCGGTGAGAAAACTAGGTTTGGGAGTACCTTAGGTTGATTTCAATTATGGTGTGCCCGACCCCCCCCCCCCCCATTCTGAAAGTAGTTTCCGCGCCCCCTGCTCTAATTACCGTACATCAGAATGCGTTGTAAAAAATGAACACAATTTTTCGCTTCATTTATACCAGACAGCAGCATTTCGTAGCCATCGACGCATTCGTGCCGCGTCAATGGGTTTTCGGTTCCGGACGTCCTGAAGTTTTGCTCTGAGTGGCGAGAAAGTCTTTCGGTCCGAAATATAATGGTTTAACCCGCGCACCAACGGGGATCCGCATTCCGCGCCAACTTCACACCGACGAGGGGCGGATACCTGCTCCCCGTGATATCTCGAGAACGAAGCAAAATAGAAACAGGCGGTAAATGGCATGGGATACAAACGGACAAAGTCTACAAGTTTTACTGAGGTCATTTTCAGGTCAGGTAAAAAATGACGTCACAGGAGTAAACAAGTCAAAATAGCGGCGCTTAAGGTAGACATTTTTTTATACGAATAACGATTGAAGTATAAATGTCTGTTATACCCACACCGACAGGCTGATTGCTTTGAAAATTTCACCGATTGATAAGGCCAACAGTTTGTACAAAATGTATATCTCGAAACTTCGATACCGGTGACCTAAGGTCAGGTCAATTTTGCCACCTCCCCATTACCTATAAGTCCATGGGATAATTCTTCGGAATGCTTGAAACGAGGCATTAGTATCACGGATGTAAGTTGTCGAACTTCCGTTCCCGTCTTGAGTTGAGATGTTAGTTTCACAACATTTCGGCCAGTTACTTCTCCGGCCGTCGTCAGTTGTTCCTTGGTCCATAAAAAGATCTTGAGTGTTGGTGGCGTTGCGCCGTACGCGTCATACCTTATCGAAAGCTCCTGTGGTCAGCGGGAAATGATCTCGGGTTGCCCCGATGATAGGCGACAGTTGTAACTAATACTCCACCGCTCGAGGCAGACATAGCGGCCAGACAAACGAACATCTCACCTCAAGACCGGGACGAAAGTCCGACATCTATCATCAGTGTCAATGGAAGGAAATTAAAATGCGTTTTTTTCTAGACGGACACCATTCTGAACACTTCCAAACACCTATTAACAATTCAACATGACACACTGACCTGGAAAATGACACCCAACGTGAAAATGACTTGACCCTTCCTTATATCCCAGAGGTCATCTCAGGTCACAAAAGGGAGCCTAACAGTTTTTCGTTGATAACTTCTGGTAGACGCATGATCGACTGAACGGATCGACTGACATGCAACATAACCTTTTCCGGTCAGGTCTTGACCTTGACCCGGGGTCAAATTTCAAAATGAAATTTCAAGGTCAAACTATAGTTTATTCGACGCGTCTTGATTAGAAGAACATGATGGCTGGCAAAATAAATGTCATGACTTTCTCGAGCAAAAAGTTATGGCAGAAAAAAACCTTTTTCATAAGTGGCTTTTATTGGAGTTTTTGCCCTATGGAGAGTTTATGCTAAGCCGTTGACTTGAGGTCAAATCTGAGGACTACTTTGGCGAAAGAGCGTTGAAAGAGCTATCGAATGCGCTTTTCCGCGGCGCTGCAGCTCTATTAGTTCCCAAATTATACGCCAGGTTTTCGAAAACTGTTCAAACAATCCAAAGTTGACCTTTTATGACCTCTGGCCACCTGAGCTTTGACCTGACCTTATAAAGACCAAGTATTCTCTTCATTTTAACTGTCTTTCCAATGCCGCCTACCGCATGTCGTTGCGTGGCCCAGGAGCCGAAGTTAGACGGGGGTGTTCAGACACACACCCCGGCCCGGCGCGGAAGGCGCTGAGCACCGGCCCAGCGCGGTTAAAACTGCTCCGTCTTCGTCTTTACTGGGTGGGCAAACACACTCCACTGGGTGAGCAAAAATCGCTACTGGGTGGGCGATTACCCACCCAGTTAACATATTATCCGAGGCCCTGCTACTAACACAAAGCAACAGGTCCCGATATTCCCGATTTTTGGGCCATTGACCTGACCTGGAAGGTCAACCGATGACCTAGGACCTTAAAATTGGGTATCACTGGCTTCCTCTCGTGACGGGCAACACGCTCTTTTTTCCGAGAAGCTCTAGCTCCATCAGGGGCCAAACGCGAGGGGGGGGTCGTACCCCCCCCCCTTGTGCCGTCGAAGGACTCAAAATGGCCTGTGCCGGCGAGGGTTAAATCGGAAATATTTATTTTCAAAGCCTGTAGCACTAGAAAGAGGCATGGATGAGATAGCAGAGGGGATAATACATTTGAATACCCCTCTGACCTTGTGACGTCAGCGGAGATCTAGCGATTTTTAATCTTATACTAAAACCTTGGTAAAAGACAATTGTTGGTGTGGTGGTATATGCTACCTTTCGCACAACATATGTCGCACTTTTAACCCTCGCCCGTATATTGGTGTTTTTCCAGCCGCAAACGTATAAGGGGGGGGGGGGTCCGTTGGACCCCCCTTGCCCTTTCGCCCCTGATCGAGCTAGAGCTTCGCGGAAAAAAACGAGCGTGTTGCCCGTCACGAGAGGAAGCCGATGATACCCAATTTTAAGGTCCTAGGTCATTGGTTGACTTTCCAGGTCAGGTCAATGACCTAAAAGTCGGAAAAATCGGGACCTGTTAGAAAGTTGTAAAGTGTGGCTGCTATGGGGTTTCTCGGTTGATGATCACGAATATCAAGTTAGTTTTGATCACAGATGATATCTTCATGCATTTAGGCCAGGTCGGGTCAGGTCAGGCCAGGTCAACCAGTAGGAGTCCTACCGGGTATTCGTAGTAGGTGTCAACCGCCTCCGTCAGCTTTGTAACATGTTACGAAGGCACCAAAACTACTTCGTAAAAGTTCATATGGTTGCTAAATTCGAATTCAGCTCCAAAAAATAGCCTAGAAACATGTAAAACTCGAAAAAGTGAACCGAGGTCACCTAAGGTCAGTCAATGATCTGACCTGACCTTCAGGTGACCTTGACACCCACCCTAATGCATGGCAGCAACATCAAATCACATGTTTGAACGTTTGAAACCACGAAAAGCTTGCAAACGCGAGGCTAATGCGAGCCGACATACGCCGAATCGCGATTCCGGCCAAACATGGTCTCAGAAAGTAGGTCACAGTTCAAAGGTCAATTAGGTCAGGGTCATGAAATTTTCAGGGTAGGCGTAAAATTGATCAATGCGAGGGTACTGAAAATTTCGTCGTGATCGGCCGCTTATTACTCAAGTTATTCGCGAAAAACCAAGGGGGGTCCGTTCGACCCCCCCCATACCGCGGGCGAGGGTTAACTTAAGATACAAAACCAGTAAAACGCCTTTTGGGCGAAGAACGAGCGAGCGAGATAGTGAGCACTGCACGTGCGGAAGGGCGTGAGGGTACTTCCAACTGGCTTGCGCAAAGCACCCTTCTAACCGGTCCCTAGCGGTGTGCCAAATTTGAACGCAATCGGCCCAGCCGTTCCTGAGATCTGGAAGCCGCATTCTGCACGTGCGCACGTGCAAGCGGGGTCCAAACTGACTTTTGCACGGCACCCTACTAACTGGTCCCCAACCGTGTACCAAATTTGAGCGCAATCGGCCCAGCCGTTCTCGAGATCTGGGAGCGCCCCCTGCACGTGCGCACGTGCTGTAGCACCCCAACCCTAACACATGCAGATGAATTATCTGATGGAGACCTAACTGTGTACCGAGTTTCAATTCAATCGGCCCAACCGTTGTGCCGTTATTGAGGTTGCAATTTTGGGGGTTCTTAAAAAATGTCCAACTTTACCACGCGCCACGTGCGGTGGTTGGCATTGGCAAGAACGCATGGTGGCCATTCTACCACAGAACTTTTACGTCCAAGTGACATTCAGTAAAGAATACCGCTTGTCAATCGGATGTCCCGTTCCTAAGATATTAGCTTTTGAAGAGCGTCCCCACGGCCGGCACTCAGGATTTTCCCTTAATTCAGTATGAACTCGCTCGCTCGCTGCGCTCGCTCGCTCGTAATTATTGCTTCCAAATGAC